AAAAAAAAAATACTTATACTGTATCACTCTTATCTCCCAACTAAATCTCTTATCCAATTTCCAAATCTTGCTCAAGCCCTGATGCATAGTTTCTAACTTTCTATTGGTCTATTTATTAATGAGGTTGCGTCTGTATTTCATGACTTGAAGTTAGTTAGTTCCAAATCTGATGCATCATTCATTTGCAAAACAATCCGAGTTAACCGTAGGCTCTCATGCTTCAGCATCCCATATAATTTATTCAGAGGTAACCCTGACAATGCTGGAGTAATATCAAAAGATCGAAATTCCCCAATTGATGAAATTACAAGGTGGGGGATGATGAAGTCAAAACCAACACAAAAGACCATTCGATGTGTCAATAATATCCACGATCCATCAATAACCAAAGAAAGCTACCTTTCAGTCTACTTTTGTTACTTCTTAACAGCATCAGTGGCACTTGAACTTGGAACTGGCTGAATCCTCACGTACGGGTTTCTCGTGAGTGTCTCGCCTCTTAAAGCCGCCACATATCTGTCATTAGTGTCCTCTTTCCTCTTCAGTTCCCCGAGAAACTCTGCCAGCCGCTCTTGATTAACTTTGCCCATCATCTGACATTTCACAACCTCAGAAAACTTCAGCTCTGTATCCTGACTTTAATAGCTAATAATCAACACTACTCATAAAAACTTCTTAGCAAGAAAAATGTGGAGAATTCATCTCATACAGTGAACTCCACATGAATTCAAATGTGTATCAGTAATGATCAAAGCAAAATGCTCAAGGAGATAACGACAACAAATAAAATTGATGTACATCTCATTTTATCTCAAGTGTTCCATATGATCTTTTTTCTTTTAACAGAACATGGCTTGCTTGCTGTACAGTTACTACTTACTACAAAGACATCATCACAGTGTGTGGATAGGCAACCCATTTGGGGGCACTACCATTGGTAGCTGAAATTCGAGAATTTGTACACAAGGGTTCACCCTATTCATCAACTAGTTTATTCGAAATTCCTTCTGCAAAACAAAGGCCAAGAAAGCTTGTCCAAAAATCGGCGAAGGAAAATGCAAGACCCTGAATAAATCAACTATCCATTACTTCCAAGGTGAGTAATTTAGGACGAATGAAGAAAAAAAAACCCCACATAAATCATATAATCAGAATCCTTGTTGCTGTACAATTCACTTAATTCTCTTCAAATAATCTGACCTAGTTACCGCAGCTTATACCTCCATATCACTCTAAACTTGTCATGTTGGGAAAATTAAACCAACTAATCGACACAGCACTTCACATTTTAACTACAATCGGCAGCTAAAAACCACAGTTATTATGAATTCGAACCCTAAAATTATATGCACGCCTAATAAAACTCGGAACTGAATCGGAATAGAGATAGAGAGAGAGAGATAGAGAGAATGAGAGATTTACCAGGGTTTCGGGGCGGGCCGACTGGCGGAGCTTGGCTTCGAGCTCGGGGTTCCCCGAATTGGTGACCTGCATAACGCAATAGCCGATGACCCCCGGCACGACGCCGCAGACGGTGGCGAAGGTGAGGAAGAAGGGCTTGGAGTCCCTCGTCTTCGCCACCAGCCACCGCCATGTGGAGCTCTTCTCCCACAGAAACGACATTCCAGATCCTTCTTCGTCTGTCTTCTCCTACACCAATCGAAAAATCAGGCTCTGAAAATTGGACCCCTCGTAAGTCATAAATAAATCGCATCCATTTTTGTATTAACCGGAAATAGAAATTTGAGTGGAAATGCTTTGTGGACTGGACCAGGCAACATAGAAGCCCAGCCCAAGAGTGTCCAGATGGCCGAACTAAATTGACATCTTTTTCAAATATTTGCCATTTTTTTGTTTGTAGAGAGGATTAGTTTTACACTTCCTCTTAAAGAACTCGAACTCAATGACCTTTTTTAAAAGATGATTAATAGTGTTTTCACTTTTTTTTTTCTCAGGAGCTCTTCTGCACGCTGACGAGTTGGCCAGTGACCGAGCCATAGTGCTCCAGGAGGTGCCTCGACCGTCATTATTCGCACGGGTTATAAGATGAAGTTTCTTAATACTAAATCGCGTTTCGTTGTCAAATATTTAATATTATTTTAATGCATTTTTTAAAGAATTTTATCATTTAATATTCGTTTTTATAAACAGCTATGACGGTTTCTATAGTTCCTTATTTCTCTCTGAAAGATCTTCAATTTCTAAATTTATTCTCTTTCTTAAGAATTTTCCACGACCCTAAATCGACAGCAGAGTGCTCTCGTGATCGGCGACGACGACTGACGAGGCGGATGGATGACCTCGCGGTGCCGTCTAGTACAACGACGGGGAGAGAGTTTAGGAAACGATGGCGTGTGGGCGAGACTAGGTCGTCACCAACGGTGTAGGTTTGTTGTCGAGTGGCAGTGCCACAGACTATGCGGCGGCTTGACTGAGAGTGTGAAATTTCAATCCCTGAAGCTTAAGTCACGGGCCCTATAGAATTTTATGTAATATAGTATATATATATATCGTATGTATAAATATATTATGATATTGACATAAAAAAATACATTTTATTAATTATTATGCAAAGTTATGGCAACATAAAAAATAAAGAGAAAATGTTTAGAATTATTTAATCTTCAATAGTATGTTAATTTTTTAATAAGTTGTGAAATTTATGCTTATGTTATACTCAATTTCTTGTTTATTTCATTTTCCCTCTCAAAATACATAAAAAACAAATATTATACATAAATTAATGTATATTATATATAGGGATTGGATCAAATATGTCCATATTCTTAAAATGCGGATTAGAGACTCAACTCTAGCTATTAAATGACAAACAAGGTGTCTGGTCAAAATTTAATCTTTTTTTTTTTTATTTTTTTAGTTGGTTAAATATTGATTTGACTGTTGAATTTTTGCGTTGATCATTGACCGTAGTTTGTGCCCACGTTGTCTTTAAAGTCTACGCCGCCCCTGATTATAATACATCAAGTATAAGACTTTTGACTTGAGTGTCGAAACGTCTATGTCAGAGTGCACCTCCGGCGATGTTTTGCATATTTTTTCAATTTGTGGAAAGAAACGAGAGGATTCAACAAAAAATCTCGCTGGTGGACCGATATTTCGGACACAGTCAAATTTTTATCTACCTGAACAAATTAAGTGAAGGCTCTTGAAAACTTGTATACACCAATTTAATAAAGAAACAAGTAGTGTTCAAAGAATATCATGAGGAGACGGCATCCAATGTACCTAACAAAAAGTTTGAGGAGTTTGTGAAGATAACAAAAAGTAGGAAAATACTAAAGTCCCGAATGATTTCTTTATTTTTCTTTAATCAATCAGATTACAATAATGTGTGCAGTTAATATACAACTTCCTTGTATCTAAAGGCTAGTAATAATTGTGAATATCCAACAAGGTAAAATAAATGAACGAAATCATACTGTCACGGGATTGGAGCCGTCCCGTGAAAAGTAAAGGTCGTTATGAGTTGCATGTGTGTGTGTGCGCGCGCATGAAACAAATTTGGACGTCATCGGAATCGACGACCCCGTATAATGTTTTCTAACTGTCGATAATCAGTTTTGGAAAAGCTATTCTGTTTAAAATCAAAAGAGAAAGAACCAAAAACAAAAAAAAAAAAAAAAAA